GATAAAACTTAAACCAGACTTAATACTCAATAACCTTCTTCACAGTATAGTGCTGAATAGTTTCTAGTCAAATTTAAATATCAGTCAAAGGAGCGTACATTCAGGGGAGACCTAGCAGCAGGTATCCTTAAAATGAGAATCTCCAATTCCCTGAAGAAAACTTTTCCGGTAGCAACTCTAAGAGTGATATTCTCTAGCCGCCCACTACTTCGGAGCAACGGGAAGAACAGACTTACTTCCGCATATGACCACTTCAATGTGCATATATCAGTTCACCTGCTCTTGCAGAGCTAGGTATATACGTCGTTCTATGAGGGTATTATGAAAACATGTTAGAGAACATCGTCCAGCATGGCTGTAAAGAGGAGTCACTGGTTCAATCAGAAGCGTAATAACTGAACATCTCGTCAATACCTGGCATAGAATCTCAACCGACTCATCATTTAGAGTCATTTACAAAGTAAACAAAAATCTATCAAAGGCAACCAGTGTGTTTCCGACTTCTTTGTACTGCGGAAGCTCTCGCCATATGCATCGAAAAGCCGGAGCTATGTGTTCAAAAGAAATTAGTCCAGCCTTTACAACTACCATGGACCTAGTTCGGTATGTTCACTTCAGTTTTTGTTTTGTTATCTGTGTGTGTAATTAGACAAAATAATATTATTTACAAAATACCATGCAATGACTGTGAGGTCAACTACATAAGTCAAACTAGTAGGTCAGGGGTAGTCCGATTGTCGGAACATAAGAATTTAGCTAAGGTAAGAATGGTTGACCCCGAGAAGATAAGTAATTTAGAAAAAAGCTCAGCAATTGCAATGCATGCGCTAACACACAACCACACAGTAGCATAGTGGGAGAGGGTTAAAATTTTAAAAAGTAATCTATGTAGGTGGATACAGGGAAAGGTTGAATTCTGAATCCTGGCTGGTTCATCGAGTCTACACCCAACACATGCAATAGGAATGACTCGTCACTCATACCTGAAATATGGAAAATACTATTACCAATCAAATCAAGTGAAAATCAAGAGAAAAACAATGGAACTATATAAATGACGTTAGGAAGCCGTGTGATTACCTTGATATGATTATGAGCAATAAAATGTGCTCGAAACGTCATCAGTAAACATTACTGTATAACACTGTGAGACTTTATCAAAACAAAATTTACCCATAATGGAATTACACTCTCCCACAGTGCACAAGTTTTATTCTTATATAAATGAGAACTATATCCATGTAAACTAATCTATATAAAAGCGATTGTACAGCTGCCTTTGAGAATGAAATCGCCGAAAAGACAGGTATCTTTGATGAACTTCTTGTTCTTTTCAGTTTAATGTTCCCGAGAAGATAAACAACGCAATAAGTGGAATGATCAACAGAATCGACTTACACCAACAACTCGTCCAGAAATACCAACAACACCAAGCACACAAGTGCTTGCCAGTGGATAACAATTATACAAAATAAGTAAACACCTTCAATGCAATCAAGCAAATAATCGTAGATAAGGAAGGCAGCACGACCACACAGAATTCACCCAAAACCAATCAAAATGCATCCACAGATCAAAGGGAATATGCTCATACCGTTGTTGCGAAACGATGTAGAAGGAACGAAAGCTGTCTATTGATTAAAAGAAGGCTGTCCTGTCAAACTGACGAAAATGTGAGACTTAGGCCACTGTGAGAACTGCTTTGAAATCAGTCTCCTTCATATACATATCAAACAAAACACATTAGATCGTGTCATTCTGGATAGAAAAAGAGATACACTGGAATCAGAACTTCGCCAGACACACCGGAACAGGCTGACTGCATTCGGAAGACGCAAATATTATGTGTGCAACAAATTGCAGCTCTCTTCATTGTTATCATCAGAAGCAACATCAAACAGCAAAGAATGAAAATCAAAGCTAAACTTCAATTTCATCGACTTTGAATGGGCTTTCGACAGACAGTGTTCACCGAGAAGTAATTCGGAAACCACCTCATCAACACTATGAAGTTCGTGAAATCTTCATCAACCACATTCAACAAGCACTCACTCACTCAATAACTTCCATATGACGGTGATGTCATGTGTCAGATGATCCACAACGGAAGGTTGATCAAAGCCTGCATTCGAAGTGAAGCAGGAGTATGACAAGCTGGCTGTCTCGCTGGCTACCTGTCATCACCAACGATGATATTGCTAAATGTGGCGGACTGGATAAAGAGGCGCATAGTGGATGGATAGAGAAGAGACGGGAATATGTTGGACTGATAAGAAGACTGTATAAGTACTGGACTTGGCGAATGATTTATGTGAAATGTCACACAAATTCGAAAACTTACTGGCGTGAACCAACAGGTTGATAGAAGAAGCAGTAGAGACATGGACAAGACCAAGGTGTTGAAGCCAACCAATCACCAACAACAATAACAATAGTCATAAATGCTAATCACTGTAAACAGGATAAATTTGAACGTCGTCGCTTAATTCTGTCTGAAGTCAGGTGGAACAAATGGGCATTTCAATAGCAACGCAGACCTTTATCACTGAATTTGACCACCAGTGTGAAGTCAGTCAGTCACCTCTTTTATGTGGGTGAACTGTTTCTCCTGAGCTTTGTGAAAAGCGTTTCCAACAGTCCACTGAAAACTTCTTTCAACAGATATCGCCTCCGCTAGCTCCATACTGGTGATCAGATGACCAGTGGAAGGATTTATCGGTGAGAAACTCTGAGAACAGACCAGTGAATAACCGAATGGTCAAAAAATGTATGGAAGAAAACGGAAATTGAACAGGCTAAGGTTGTGGAGACCTGCTGGTATTAACTTTGTGAAAATGTACTCACTCAAAACATAGTCGACAGCAAATTAACGGGTGCAGTTATGTGGTGATTGACAATTTCTATCTCTGTATTGTTTAAATACTTACTGTTGATTGTTAATATGTTTCTTATATGAATGGCAGAATAATTCCGCTAAATACAAATTCCTGAGTTCCGCCCTCTCTCTGTTTTGGTTGGATTCGTGTAATTCGGTCATCTCGAAATACTAATATTACGATTACAATAAATTACTACAAATTGGCGTCGCGATGGAACTAAATAACCTGGGAAATTTTCCTATAAATGCTACTCCGCGGGAGATTGCTGATTATTTGGAATGCTTCGATGCGTGGTGCATTTCAAGGAATGTTCGGGATGACAAAATTCCAGTACATTTCATCACTGCTATTGGGCTAGATGCATATAGCCTAGTAAAGACTCTGTCATTTCCAGATAAACCAATTTCCCTGCCATATTATAAACTACGTGAACTTCTTATAAACCACTTTCATGTAACTACATTTGAGACCAGAGAGAGGGCTCACTTCAACAAACTAATTCGTGCTCCCAACCAGAAGATTCGAGAGTTCATTCTTCAACTTCAAATTCAAGCCTCAAAGTGTAACTTTGGAGATCAGCTGCATACTCAACTACGTGATCGTCTAATTGCTGGAATCAATATTCCTAAGTTAGAGAAAGAGTTAATTCAGATTCCTTCTTGTACCTTTCAAACTGCTAAAGATTTATCTATTACATATGAAGATGTCAATAATGAATACTCTGCTCCCACTACGTCAGTATCTGATGTCATGCTTTCTAAAGTCGAAAATACAAGTGTTCATGGAAAGCAATCCAAATTGTCGTCTACAGATAATAGAATGCAGCGAGAGATCAAAGACGTTAAACCGTGTTCTTCCTGTGGAAAGTTACATCTACGAAGCACTTGCCGTTTTCGGGGTGCTAAGTGTCACAAATGTGGTAAAGTTGGACACATCAAGACGGTTTGCAGAAGTTCGAATACTTATGTTGCTCAACATTCTTATAATTCTCCCAAGCTGTCTAGTAAAATCGAGTCAATATGTCTTTCAACTTTTCAAAATACTCAAGCTCCTCCAATGATAACCTCCACTACAAGTTCAGCAACTCAAGCGTCAACTGTTTTCAAAAATGTGGTAGCCGAGTTACAATGCGAACTGTCGAAAACACGAGAAAAACTGAATGAGATGAGAGAGCAACTGATTAAAATGGAGGAATTGTTGCATATGCATAGACTGCGTCTGTTGAATGCAGAGCATACAAGTACCCGTAAAAGTCCTGCAAAACTTTTTAAATCTCGAATTCTCAGAAAGCATCTGATGTCCACGACTTCTGATGTACATTATTACAAAGGGAATGACTATAGACCTTCTGTTGGAATTATACTACAAAAAATGGGAAATCGAGTGGTGAAGATATTAGACATCAAAGATCACTCAGTTCATAACAGACACCTGGACAAAGTGACAATAAATGAAGTAGGTCGTTTCAATTATTATTTTAATGATTCCGCTAATAATCCTGATTTTGTAGATAATTCAGAAATAAGTCCAGATAATACTGATGAAAATAATATCACAGAATCAAATAGAAGGTCGCAGCTACTTGCAAGCAAACCGAGACATCGTTATAAATACGCAAGGAGACATTCGACGTGTGGCGGATGTGGTGATTGACAATTTCTATCTCTGTATTGTTTAAATACTTACTGTTGATTGTTAATATGTTTCTTATATGAATGGCAGAATAATTCCGCTAAATACAAATTCCTGAGTTCCGCCCTCTCTCTGTTTTGGTTGGATTCGTGTAATTCGGTCATCTCGAAATACTAATATTACGATTACAATAAATTACTACAGGTTATAGCAGACGTCTTTTTCAACTCAAATGTCATGATTCTTAATTCTGATGCTGAATCAAACCGTCGAGAAAAATCTGTGTCGAGGGTGTTACGGATGCATAACCACCTGGTCAGGGCTATCAAACAGAAGTAATAACGTGATTGTGATAAACTTGTGCAGAATATGGTGCCGTATAATACTTCGCAGTTATTTTTCAATCATCAAAAACACAGAAATTACATTCAAAAGAGAAATAGGTTCACTAGTATAATCTATCGAGCTTCTAATGAATAAATCACTTACGCCGAGTCTATACCATAGCATATTGCAATATTGCGTCTTCACGTGAGAATATGGCAATCTAAAAACGCTGTACACAAAAAAGAGAGAAATAAGAGTGTGGCGTGAATCAAAAAAAAGTAACACCATTAATTTTGACAAGTGTGAAAATATAAAACGAAACACTCACTATTATTATTATTATTCCCGAGGGTTACAAGTGTAACATGTATAGATTCAAGACAAACATCAACACTTTCTCCTATCTTCTGCTGTCCTCTTCAGCTGGCTGACTCCAGGATTCCCCACAATCTCTCATCTCCCCATCCAACTCACACATACACACACACACACGATCTCCTGCATATCACGGTAGCACCAATCACCCACTCGTCCATCGCATCTCCCATTCGGATTCCATTCGATTGATGGCTGGTCTGCATTCAGACGCGTTGACATTAAATCGATGCGCCACCTCCTTCAATACGTGCCCAATCAATCAGTCAATCAACCAATCATTCCCCACTTTCTCCTACATATCTGTTGAGCAGTCGGTGGCTGTTGTTTGGTTTGTTCATCTCCAGAGTTTCTCGGCGCTAATTCGTTCTGTCCGGCCGGCTGGCCAGCACACTGACCATTTGATCTTCAGTATGAAGCTAGCCACTCAGCCAGCCAGCCAGTCAGCCAGTGAACGTGGCAGCTGTTGGTAAGAGTCTGCAGTAGTCTGCTGAAAATGCTTTTCGTTACTCATGTACGGCGCAAGTTCCTCACCCATATCGAAGCACTCACTAACTGAACAATGACTTACTTCATTGTCATTTGTGTTGAAAATCCGAATCGTGTTGTTTATGCTGAGGCGGAGTACAGTGCAGAACATTTTCAGACTGATTTCAGGATGATGAAGGTGTATGTTATTTTTCCGATTCTGTCTGTCTGTCTTCCTTGGTGGTGGTTTTCACATCTTCATCTGTTTCGTCTGCCTGTGTTTGAAACGATGCTGGCTGTATAGGCTAGATAAGTGAATGCAGGAAGTAACGTTTGCCAACCTCTTAATTGCGTTGATGGTGATTGGTGTCGATGAAAGCAAGAATAAAAAATGAGGATGTGGAATATACATACAATGTTCGAGATTAGGAAGGCTGCCCAAATAGCCAAAGAAATGAGAAGATATGGCATAGAAGTGCTGGGAATCTGAGAGAGCAGATGGAATGGATATGGATTATCAGAACTGTCAACTGAAGTGTCAGTAATCTTCTCCGGTTACCCAAGCAGACGACAACAACAAGCACACTATGGGAGTCGCTATCACCAGTGGCAGCCAAAAACCCTTATGCAGTTGGAACCGATCTCCTCATACAGGATGATGACAACATGATTTAACTCAAAATGAAGGAAAGAGGGCTACAATTATCCAGTGCTACTCACAGTGCTACAAACAACTCGGAACAAGGGAAGAAGACAGATTTTTACAGGCAAATGCAAAAATAATTGACAAATTCTCGAATGGTGACATCAGAATCCTCATGGGCGATATGAACGCCAAACTTGGAGCAGATAATACAGGAAGAGAACTCATCATAGGTCGATAGGCTCTGGATTGACGAAATGAATGAGAATGGAGAATTATTCGCAGACTTCTGCGCTCTCAATGATCTGGTGATCAGAGGCGGCGTGTACAAACACAAAAATATACACAATACACCATGGATCTCACCTGACGGACATACCAAAAACTAGATAGATTTCATCTCAATGTTGCTCAAGGAAGTGGAGACGCAGCCTGCTGGACAGAAAGTCGAGAAGGAGAGCATATGTGGTGTCAGACCATCATCCGTTTCAAGGAACATTCAAGGGGAAGCTGAAATCCTTCAGAACAACCGGGAGCAGACCACAGTTCAAGCTGAACATTCAGAAACTGAAGGACAAAACTACAAGGGATGCCTTCACTACAGATCAGTTCGGTGTAAAGTCGGAAATACTAAGTGGTATCACTAAGGAAACCTGCATAGAAGAACATCGGAACTCTGTGAAGGCGATATTCAAGGAGATGTGTACAAGTGTTCTGGAAAGAAAGATGAGACACGACAAGGAATGGCTGCCAACAGATACCTACCTGGAAGCTAATCAAGGAGGGGAGGGGAGGATGGTAAAGGATGACTCAATCCAAAGCTGGACAACAGAAGGAGGAGCTCAGTTCAATGTACACTGCAGTGAATCAAGAAAGACGTGAAGAGTGCTAGAAAAGACAAAAGACAATTATACGACACACTGGCTAGCTGTAACTGAAGCACAACAGGCGACCCGCAGGTGAAAGAGACATCAGTACTTTATATCAGATAATAAGGTCTCTATCCGGGAAGAGATCAACCCAGATGATTAAACTAATAAAATATGCTCAAGGGAACTTGATCACCAATGAGGAGAAACAAATCAAACAATGGGCTGATCACTTCAAAGGACTCTTAAATCGACCATCACCTGCAAATCGCCCAGAAATACCATCACCACGAAGAGCACTGACAGAACTGTCAGCAGACACCACTCCTCCGACGAAAGCAGAAATCCTAAATGCTATCAAGTTACTCGCGGCCGGCAGGGAAAACAGCAGGACCAGATGGAATTCCCTCCGAAACACTGAAAACGAACCTAGAAACTGCGGCAGATGTTCTCACGCCATTACAGCAAAAGGTTTGGAAGGAAGGAAGTAAAGTTGCCTACCGATTGAAAGAAAGGTTGATTACCTTGTCAAACTGCCGAAGAAGGGCGACTTAGGTCTGAGCAAGAGCTGGTGTGGAATAATTCTCTTGTCCATGCCAGGTAAAATACTAAATTGCATCATCCTGGAGAGAATAAATGATGCACTGGATACAGAACTCCACTCGCCAGAACAACCTGGATGCAGGAAAGACAAGTCATGCGCTGATCAAATTGCAACTCTATGCATCGTCATCACAGAACAAAGCATATAATGGCAGTCAAACCTCTCTCTGCCTCAACTTCACTGACTTCGAAAAGGCATTCGACAGACAGCGTTGACTGAGAAGTAAATTGGAAACTACTTCAACACTACGACGTGCAGCACCCAAGTCTTTATTGACCTCATTCAACAGCTGGCTGGCTATATGACAATGTTACGTGTCAGTCAGGTGATCCACAACGGGAAACTCAGAGAGGCATTCGAAGTTAATACGGGAGTAAGACGAGGCTGTTTATTATCACCAACGATAATATTCATAATTGTGGTGGGTGTATTGTGCTTCAGACGGATAGGAAGACTCTAGAATATCTAGATATCTCATGTGTTTATGTTTAATGTCACACAAACTCGAAGACTTACAGGCGAAGAGGCTGGCTGGCTGGCTAGCTGGCAGTGAAGACAGGACTCCAAGTGTATCTAGAGAAGACGGAGGTCATGAAGATAACCAACCACCACCACCACCAGCAGCAAAATCAAGCAGCACCAATCACCATCAGCGGGGGGGAGATTTAGCAGATTTAGCCTTCACTTATCTAAGAAGCCAGCATCGTCTCAACCACAGGTAGTCACAATGGATGAAGATGTCAAAGCTAACCAAGCAGAATAGGAAAGGCAGGATAATGGCTTCATCAACCTGAAACCAGTTTGGAAATCTTCTCCACTCCATATCAGCACAAGCAATAAGATTCAGATTTTCAACACCAATTTCAAGTCAGTGTTTCTATACGGGTCAGAAAATTGTCCAGTGTGTTACAGCCAGTTGCAGACTTTTATCAACATCTGCCTTCGCTGGCTGACTCCACTCTGAAGATCAAATGGCCAGGTGGCTAGAAAGAATAAGCAACAAGAAACTCCGGCAATGAAGGAACCAACCAAGAGCTGATCGTCCAATAAATATGTTGGATAAAATGGAGATGGATCGAGCATACATAGAGGAGACCGTTGAATTATATCGCGCACCAGCCCCTCGAATGGAATCCCGACATGAAGCGACGAGCGGGTAGTCCTAGGGTGACGAGGAGAATATCGTGTGAGGAGAAGATGAGAGATTTTGGTCAGCCACCGTGCAAGTTGAAGAGGACAGCAGAAGACAGGACGAAATGGATAGGTGTTGTTGAAGCACTATGTTACACTTGGAAATCAAGGAGATAATAATACCTGTAGGCATGCAATCAATCCATGAGCAACATGATTGGAGGTATTTGGCCACAGGAAGCACTCTCAATACCTAGGTTCGCGTGCACATTTCGAGAAATAACTCATGTCCCTCCTTAGATTCAAACCAACGTCACACAGTGTTATTCGGGCTGGCGATTAACCACCTGCAGGACTGACTGTATTGCATACATTTGATTCGACACTAATTAGTAACTGGTGTTTAGTTTGTTCAGTCCCAACTTCGGTGCAGACTGAATTCTATCAGTCCATCAAGTTCGCAGTGTGGTCACCATGACACAAATGGTAACGCCTGTAACTCACTGCAGTACTCATTGGGTGACGCGGGTTCGATACATGCCTTTCTCACTGACTGGTGAGTCACTGCCGACTAGACAGTGCTTCGTGTGGCCGATCACCTCAAACTATCTAATACCAATAATTCACAGTGCACCGTGATGCTGAGCCAGCCATCTAGTGGCATGCTGGACACATTGGAAACTTCCCTGACTGAGAGAATTCAGTCTGCGCTAATACCAAAGACCAGACACACACATGTATTGCACTAGTTACTGACTAGTGTCCAAACAGAAATACTTTCAGGCAATTGAAGATTCCAGCTGGAAATGCAAAAGACTGATTAATTTAACAAGGAATATTCTTTCCCCTTAACAACTTCATCTTCAGATTTGACATTTACCTGACCACAATAATTAACGAAGAGAAACAATATTGTTCTTATTAACAGTATTAGTTGGCAATTTTATCAATGGGTGATTACATTTCCAGTTGAAGAAATCGATTCAAAGAAGGTTTAACGAAGGCAAGCTGCAGTTTATATTTTCCACCCAAACAATTGTCATTCCAATACTGAAATACGAAATACATGGACTGGCCACCTCCTCTAATGCTATTCATATATCGATCCGCGTGGAGACAGTTGGTTATATTGGCAAGAG